TTGAAATTATGTTAATTTATCGTACGTCGCTAAGTCAGGTAATATATATGGACCATGTATATAACGAGAAACCAACTGCTTATGTCTGAAGTCCTGATAACAAGATGCTGAAATCATCTCTTAGTTAATGAGATGGCCAGAAAATGATATTAATGATTGACAAGTTTAATAAATTCTTTTTTAAGAACGTATCTAATCTGTTTTAATACCCCTTTTTTCCTTCTTTAAATAATCAACATTATTTCACTTTGTAATAAAAATTAAATGTAATAAAAATTGTCTAAATAGACTTTTTAAGAATTAGAAAATTATAATTTATAATTGTCGTCTATACCAACAAAACAAAGCTCAAAAATAATAATAAGGGTTCGTGTATTCCAAGGGGAAAGGGGGAGGTTAAAATTTCCCAAAAAAATAGGATTAGTTAGTTTATGGTCTATTTCTTAATAATAATAATTATTATTGTTATTATTATTATAATGATAATTGTAATAGTAATAATATTAGCAGTAGTAGTAGTAGTAGTAGTAGTAGTAGTAGTAGTAGTAATAATAGTGATAATAATAATAATAGTAATAATAATAATAATAAATCTGATAATAAAAATACTTGGATGATAATAAAACTATTCAGTTGAAAAATAATATACTTGTAGCAATTTTGATAATGATTCTAAACGTCCCTCTCTGAATGACTACCTCTCAATTATTATAGTTCTCTGCTCTTCTTGAGACGTAAAAGTAACTGACGAAGTGAGCGTAACAAGAAAAATAGATACATATACGCATGTAGCTATAATTTTATCTTTTCTGTAAATCGTAATTTATTTGAAAACTGAAATTCTGATAATTTGAGCCGAAAAAAAATAAGAAAATTTCATATACTAGTCGATTAAAATAATAAGAACAACGAATATTTGTTATTGAGTATGATGAACAATTGACCATTTTCACTATATGAATCTTCATTTACACTATGATGGATAAGTTACTAGTTTCACTCTTTGTTAGTCTGGAATCCTGTTCATCTCGGGACTATAAAGCAAGTGGTGAACCAATATTTGGACGCAGCAAATGGCGAACGAGGAAGGAGTGTGTGAGAGAAAGCGAAAGTGAACACACACGTCACTCTAAAAATAATACGCGCAAGACTACTTACAATTCTTCAAACAAAATTATAGATAGAGATTTAGTTTTTTAAATTTTCACATAAATTCTTGCTTTATGAATATTTTTTAATTTGCATTATTTATGACCTAAATAGGATATATATAAGGCAATTATGGTTTCAATATAAGCACAATGAAATGTATACAAATTGTTTAAAAAATGTTTTTAATGTAAAAAAGAATATAACATTTTATTTCATATTGAAATGACAGGCTTTGCATTCATCTACTAAAACCTACTATTCACTACTTTTTTCACGATTAACTGCTATTTGGTTACTTTTTCATAAATTTGTGACACTAAAAGCTACTTTTTTCTATTTTTGACAATTTTCACAACTTTAAATTCGCTAATAGTTGGAATAAAGAAATTATTCTTGAAACTTTTAATAAATTTCTTCTGAGAAATAATTAGAACGTAGTTTTTATAAAATTCTTTGATACAATTCAATTATTTCAAAAATTTTTCGAGAATCCTTTGTGAGAATTCTGTTATTTTCACAAATAATGAAATTCAAATATTTCCAATATTTATTATTTTATTTATTTATTTAGATATACAAATTTATATATTTTAATAAAATTCCTCAAAAGAATTCAATTATTTATAAAAAATTTAATAAAATTCAAAGCGAAAATTCAAATAATATGAATAATAAAATTTTCACTGTAATTCGATTATGTGAAATAAATAAAAGGAATTTTTTTTAAAGAAATCAATTATTTCAATATTTTAATAAATTTATTTAAAAAGAAATTAATTATTTACTAAAAATTTGTTTATAGGAAGTAAATTATTTTCATAAATAATAAACTTCATCACAAAAATTAAATTATTTTTAATACAATTATTTTCGAAAATTTTCATAAAACTTTTCAAATGACTTTGATAAGTTTCAAAAATCTAATAAAATTTAAAGCGAAAATTCAAATTTTATGAATATAATAAAGTTTTCAAAGTAATTCAATTGTGTGAAATACAATTTTAAAAAAAAATTTCAAAAGAACTCAGTTATTTAAAAATTTAAATAAAAATCTTTGTAAAAAATTATTTATATTCTAAAATTTTGACAAATTTTGTTTATAATAGTTAAATTATTATTTTCATAAATAATAAAATTCATCAAAAAAGTTCAAATAATTTTTAATCCAATTTTAATTGAGTTCTTTAAAATATTTGAAAATTATTCTTTTAAATTTTAATAAATTAAAAAAAAGATTTTGATTATTTTTAAAAATATTAAAATCCTTCACAGAAACACAATTATTAAAAAAAAATTTACTGAAATTCGTTGCTAGAATTCAATTATTTTTAAAAATACAAAAATTCTTCACAGAAATTCAATTACTTAAAAAAAATTTACTGAAATTCTTTGCAAGCATTCAATTATTTTCATAAATAATAAAATTCTTCACAGAAATTCAATTATTATTTAAAAAAATTTACAGAAATTTGTTGCAAGAATTCAATTATTTTCATAAATAATAAAACTCTTCACAGAAATTCAATTACTTAAAAGAATTTACTGAAATTCGTTACACGAATTCAATTATTGTCATAAACAATAAAATTCTTCACAAAAATTCAATTATTTTGAAAAATATAAAAATTCTTCACAGAAATTGAATTACTTAAAAAAATTTACTGAAATTCGTTACAAAATACAATTATTTTCATAAATATACAAAATTCCTCACAGAAATTCAATTATTTAAAAGAATTTACTAAAAATCGTGACAAGAATTCAATTATTGTCATAAACAATAAAATTCTTTACAGAAATTCAATTATTTTGAAAAATTTTCTGAAATTCGTTGCAAGAATATACAATTATTTTCATAAATAAAAAAAATTTAACACGATTTCAAATACTTTTAATACAGTTTGAAATGAATTTCTCGAAAAATGTATTTTTATTTTCTAAACTTTTATTAATATTTTTCGAAATAAATGAATTATTTGAAAAAAATTTTGATAAAATTCTTTTTTAGTATTTAATTTCAAGAAACAATCAGTTATTCTATCAATTTTTTATTTTTGTATTTAAATAATTGAATTCTTGTAGAATTTTTGAATAAGAATTGATTTAAAAATAAATTTCAGTTTACATTTTTTATTATAATAATTGAATATTAAATGCGTTGTAATATGAATTTTTATAGAAGTTCTTATCAATTTGAAAAAGGTTTTACATGAATTAATGAAAAATTTTGTCAAATTTAATTGAAATAAATTTTATGTTTTAAAAAAATTAATTTTCTTACTTTTAAAAATTATTTTGAAATATAATCGAATTTTTGAAGAATTCTCTAATTTCTAAAATTTCTAATTAAAATTTTGGAAAATAATTGAAGTTTAGAAGAATTTAGAATTGGAGTTATTAGCAAGAAAAAAAAATTTTTTTTGATGGTAATCAGCAAAATGTCAGAGAAATACAGAATAACATTTTTATGAATTTTTAGAATCGTCGAAAATAAATTTTAAGTAGACAAATTTAATTTCTCGATAGTAGCTACTTTTTTACTATTTTCATCAGTCTTAATTCTACTTTTTGATACTTTTTCCATTCTTAAAGCTACTTTTTTAAAACAAATTATTGAATGCAAAGCCTCAAAATGAGGTTTTCGACTCTATAGCGAAAAGAAAATATTTATTTAAGACTTTCGTCTTAAAATAATAATTTTCTATTCTTTTTACCGCGTGGGAAAAACTAATTTTGAAGTATTATAGAATATATAACTGAAGTCGACGTGTGTGTCTTTCTAATACATTGTTAATAAATGTCGATAATTTGAAATTGATATGGGTATATAAAATCTCAATTGAATATGTAACTGTAAATGATATAATAAATCTTTCGAATTTTCTAGGTCAATATTTCTGTCTCAGGGTATTTGAATCATTGCCAAATTTCTCTGGTCTACCCGCGAGAAGTAGCGATTTACTTTCTAGACTTTTATGAGTGTCATAAAAGACAAAACCTGACAATTTTCTTTCATATCTGTGTGAATATAAAATACATAAATAATATAATTCTATTTCCAAGTGGCCTCAATGGTCATTGACAAACAGGACCAGTTGGAAAAATTCTATATAAACTATAATAATGTAATTGATAATTACTCTCTAAATTTGAATTAGTAAACACTTTTACTAATTTCAATTAGTGACTGACTATGCTTTTGAATTAGTAAACTTAATAATTTAGTAGCAATTACTATTTAGTAGCCACTGTTAACTTAAAACTATCAAATTGCAACGAATTGATACTAAAAATGTGGAACATTTAAAAATTGATCTAAATTTTTAGCATCAATTTGATTAACTTTATAGTTTCAATTTTATGATACTCATAAGATTCGGTAGACGTTTAAAAAATCGATAGAATTGTACATAAAAAAAATTACAAATTTTAAAAAGTAGTAGATTTTTAAAAAATTAACAAAGCTGGCTAATTATCATATGTATCGAAGTACTCCAGACCGATTTGAACAAAATTTTTCATACTTCAAGAATTTCAAGAATTTATTGAGTGAAGAAATATGTTAGTACCTGATAACGCTCACCAGATGTGGACAGCTCTTGGTAAAGGCATCTATAGCCATGTGAAGCTAAGAGTGTATTACACTTTTACCATTCGATTCCTGTATTTCCTTCGAAAGCTACAAAGCAAATTTTTTCTTTTTGTATTTTTCCTTAATAATAAATTACTAAATTGTTAATTTTGAAAATTTTGAAACTAATTTTCAAATCAAAATTCGAGGTAAAAAAGTTATTTTTAGAAAAACTGAAAAGACCTAATGGTCCCTGCTTAAGACTCAACAACTACAGAACCTACCGAACCCTGTTAAACACCTGGTCCCTAATGCATGAACAAACATGTATCAGAATTAACATTCCCCGCTTTTTTCATATTTTGACACAATTTTGTACGTTTTTTCTTCAAAGAAAATTACTAAATAAATAATTGACTCGTATATTTGGGTAAAATTATCCTTGTGATGAAGTGTGTGAATTTAATTTCTTGAGGTGTCGGTGAAATAGTCGAGGTTAGAATCGTCCAGAAATTTATTACGTTGCATTTCAATTGCGGTAAGTGAAACAAAATTTTACTATTTCTTATTTCTTTGCATTGTAATTTTATTCGATATCATTTAGATGTAATTTACTCTTTGTTTGGTAATTTACTGATGCTCTATGCAATTAATGTTCTATACTATTTTACGAATAGTTTTAAATGTTTTGTCACTTATCACTTTTATAAGTTTGTTTTGATTATCATTTTGGCTGAAGAAACAATAATTTGATTTAATATTTCAAGTGAAAACTGAAAATTAGAACAATGTTAGCAGAAATATTTGTGAGATTTAGTTTTTAGTATGTAACAGTCCATGTATGGACAAAGATTAAAATTTGTTTGAAGTTAAAAATAAAATAGAAATTCTGATAAAGTGGCAATTTTGTACTCCGAACAAGAAGTTAAATGCTACAAATTACACAACAAATGACATAAATTTAATTAATTAAAGTTAAATTTTTATTTCCTGATGTAAGAGAGAAAGGCTTTAATATCATAACACAAAGTCTAATAATTTTCTATTGTTTAGAATCTTCAAAAATTAGATAACAATGAGGAATCATAGACTAGAGGGAATTGCACGAAAATCAAGAATAAGAAATTGTCTATCAATGCGACAAAGGCGACGAATACGAGAAGAAGTGAAACTTATTCAAGAATCGGTTGCAGTTGAGAATAAAAGAGATGAAAATAGGAAAGAAGGGCAAAATTCAATTGCTGACGATAGAATTAATCAACAGGAACAACAAATTCATTCACAGAATATTGTTTATATTCAAAGTCAACAACAAGTGGACAATTGTCGTGTTCCACAATTTGTTCAACAATCGGCGAATTCATTTCCTGATACGCAACAAGTTGTCGATCCCCTACTACCAACGTCGACAATTTCCGAAAACTTTTCTTTTTCCATGAATTTTCTTCCTGGTCCATCTGGTTTTCAAGATGGTGCACCTGCTGAAAATGGTTTGTCTTCCACATTTAAAACGGAACCATTTACGGAAAATAATCAAGGAATGGAAAGTGGGGGAGATCAACAACAACAAGCACCTCTAAATCATCAGGATCATAATCTTGATATTGTATTAGAATTGAGGTAAAAGTTTTAAAAAAAAAGGAAAAATACTGTAAAGATTAAGTATCCTGAAAGTGGCTACAAAGTTACTTAAAACATCTTAATAGAAGATTAGGTCAGAAACATTTTATATTAAGATGTTTAGGCTGGAAACGTCTTATATTAAGATTTTTAGGATACAAACATCTTATATTAAGATTTTTAGGCTACAAACATCTTATATTAAGATTTTTAGAATAGAAACATCTTATATTAAGATGAGAAGCTAGAAACATCTAAATAAAAGATGTTTAAACTAGAAACATTTTAATAGAAGATATTTTAAATAACTTTGTAGTCACTTTTAGGATACTTAATTTTTACAGTGGGCTTAGTGTTAATTATGAGTATGAATTATAATAATTATATATTCAAGTTACTAAATTCATATTTTACAGGAAATTAAATTTGAAAATGGACACATATAATAATCACCTTCTTGCAATTAATTCTCGACTTGAAACAATTGAACGTCATGTGATGCAAGAGAAACGAAAAGGCCAAGCTCCGGCGAAACCGGGCATTATTCCGATGCAAACGGTTCAAGAAGTCATTGAATTTGACAATGCAAGTGATGAAGTTTATAATGGATTGGTAAGTTTAATACAAATTCATTTTATAAATATTTACTAATTAGTTTACTAATTAATATTTGCTAATAGAATCTTTAAAAATACTTTGTGTCGATGTCTCAAGTCGTCAATTAAATATATAAATCTCTTAAAAATTTTAATAAAATACTTCTTAGAAACAATTTAAAAAATTTTTTTTATAAAATTCTTTGAAACAATTCAATTATTTTTAAAAATATTTGGAAAATCTTTCGGAGAAATTCAATAATTTTCAAAAAATAATAAAATTCTTCACTGAAATTCAAATACTTTCAATATCTATACGATTTTAATAAAATTTCTCAAAAGAATTCTATTGTTTTATAGAAAAAATAAAGAAAATTCAATGCAACAATTCATGTACTATCATGAATAATAAAATTTGTACAAGAAATAATGTATTTAAATTCTTTTAATAAAAAATTCAATAATATTCGTTAGAAGAATTTGATTATTTTCATAATTAATAAAATTGTCCACAGTATTTCAATTATTTTCTTAAGTAGTAAAATTCAGTACAAGAATTCAATTATTTTTAATACAATTTTTAAAAAAATTTATTTTAAATAATTGAATTATGAATTATTCTTTTAAATTTTCATAAACGATTTAAAAAATTCAATTATTTTCATAATTAATAAAATTGTCCATAGTATTTTAATTATTTTCAAAAATAGTCAAATTTACCACAAAAATTCAATTATTTTTGATACAATTTAAAAAAAATTATTTTGAATAATTGAATTATTCTTTTAAATTTTCATAAAACGATTTAAAAAAATTCAATTATTTAAAAAAAAGTTTAATAAAATTCGTTGGAAGAATTAAATTATTTTCATAAATAATAAAATTCATAGTAATAATTCAATTAAATATATACAATTTTAAATAAAATATTCTAAATAATTGAATTATTTTTTTAAATTTTTCATAAAATGATTTTAAAAAATTCAATTATTTAAAAAATGTAATAAAATTAGTTGGAAGAATTCAATTATTTTCAAGAATAATAAAATTCATAGAAATAATTCAATTACTTTAAATATACAATTTAAAATAAAATATTCTAAATAATTGAATTATTTTTTTAAATTTTTCATAAAATGATTTTAAAAAATTCAATTATTTAAAAAATGTAATAAAATTAGTTGGAAGAATTCAATTATTTTCATAAATAGTAAAATTCAGGACAAGAATTCAATTATTTTCGACACCTACAATTTAAAATAAATTATTCTAAATAATAGAATGATTCTTTCAAATTTTCATAAAATCATTCAAAAAATTTCAATTATTTAAGAAAATTCAAAAAAATTCGTTGGAAGAATTCAATTATTATGATAAAAAATAAAAAATTCATCATAAGAATTCAATTATTTTTAATGCAATTTTAAATAAATTATTCTAAATAATTCAATTATTCTTTTAAGTTTTCATACACAGAGAAAAGCGAGTGTTGTTTTTGATGCGGGTAAATTTTGGTAGGGTAATTTTAGTGAGGATAAATTTTCTATAATAGAAAATTTACCTTATTTGCGGTGTTAAAATAACACTTCCGAGCTAAAGTTTGATGCAGACACTTTTAACACCGAATTCAGTGTTAAAATAACACTCACTTTTTTCTGTGTAAAATGAATTTTTAATTATTGTTTAATCTCAAAACATTTTACACTAAAATTATTAAAAAATTTTAACTCCTGTGGAAAAATAAAAAAGTATAAATTTATATATATTTATTGAAAAAAAATTGTTCAAGTTTAAATAATTTAATTTAGAAATTAGGACAAAAATCACTCTTTTGAAAATAGCAATTAAAATTTTGTTAATACAACTTCAATTCTCGTACAAATTAAAAATATTTATTTAAATTTTCAATTGATCGGAAATTTTGTTAAATTTTTGTTAAATTTTCAATTGATCGTAAATTTTGTTAAAATTAATAAAAATAAATTTTATACTAAAAAAAATTTATTTTTTCACTTTTAAAATTTTTTTTTCAAAATCTATATGAATTTTTGAAGAATTCTAACTAAAATTTTGAAAAGTAATTGAATTTCATAAAAATTTAGTTAAAAATCAATATACCTAACATTTTTTTTAACTTTACCAAAAAATGTATTTTTTATGAAAAAAAAATTTCAGGTTAAATATTTAAAGTACATTGGAGGTTTCACGTTACGAGAAGCATTAAATCTTTGCATGAAGGAAGTTCTCACTAATGATGTCGCCAATAATTTTACATGGCATGGAAAGGACACTGGTCACGCACAAGTTGGACTTGCTTTATACAGCAGGCAAATAACAAATGCATTTTATGGTGGGTTTTGAAAAAAAATTATCGCTACTGGGTATCACTGAATTTTCCCTAATTTCACAGTTTTTCTGTAAGGATATCAAAATTGAGACAAAAGAATCAAAAACGTTGCAAAGTTTTTGATTCTTTCGTCAAAAAAAAAAATCAAATCAAAAACGTTGCAACGTTTTTGATTCTTTTGTTTAAAAAAAAATTAAATCAAAAACGTAGCAACACGTTTTTTGATTTTTTTGTCTAAAAAAAAATCAAAACAAAATCAAAAACGTTACAACATTTTTCATTCTTCTGTTTCAATTTGATATCCTTCGGAAAACTGTGAAATTATAGAGAAAAAAATTTTCCCAATTTTGAAAATTGAATATAAACCATTAAATGTTTAAATTTTAATATACAGAAGCAGTTTCTCAAAGTCAGCATTTTGAACAACCAACGAGAGCAATGTTTGCCTCACAGATGCGAGAAGTTTTACGTATCGCAAAACAGCGACTACGAAATTCCCTTCGCAAACAACAGGTTCAACAGAATTTCGATGGAGATAGGGACGACGATCCCTGGGAATAAGAAATTTGAAAAAGAATTTTTTTTTTCTGTAAAATAATGTAAATATTTTTTTTATACATATACATATAAGGGTAAATGTGTTAAAATGCGAGTAAAAGAGAAGCACAAATATGTTCAAAATTTATTCTGATGACTTGTGGATATTGAGAATAATGCAGTTTTTATGATATTTATAATTCAGGTACACAATTTTTTCAAAGATTTGAAATTTAGACAAAAAACTGCAAAATTGTTGCAAAGCAACCTTTTTTTTCTTAACTTGATATTCTCATAAAAAATTTGTGTGTTTAAAAAATTTCGAAATGATTCTTTATTTTTCTTCTTGAATGTTTCCAAATACCAAAGATATACAATTTTGTAAGAACGTTTGTATATGTAAATGGTTTTTTTCTTTGTATTTCGAACAAATTTTTTCAATTTATATGAAACTTTATTTTAAGTTGGAAAATCTTTCTTACTTTTCTATGTGGTGTTCATATTTCAATTGCGCTTATTATATTGAAGTATTAATAAAAAGAACGTTTATTATAAATTTTTACTTGATTTTTTTATTGTAAAGACCTTAAGGGGGTGTTAAAACAAAAGTTTGATTCGTTCACTCTTTTCCCAGTTGTGTTTACTTTAAGCTAGTAGTAATAGACACTTTTGGTCAGACGTCAAAAGTTTTGGAAATCAATTTTTAGACCTAAAACAATTGTTTTGGTCGGAGAATTGTTTCAAACTTTTGTTTTGTAATTACAAGTAGTAGAAATCGATAATAGTCAGACAAAACTACTCAAAAACATTTGTACATTCGACTTATTATTTTTTACTACTACTGCTACTATTATTACTATTACTACTATTACTATTACTACTGCCACTACTATTCTACTTTCACTAATTCTTGTTTCAGTAGAAAAAACTTTTCTTGTCAGACTAAATTTAAAATTTTTTCAAATTTAAAATTTGGAATCCTAAAGTCAATAGTGATAAGTGAAGTTCAATCTTTGTAAAAGTGTCAGTAGTTAAGGTAGAGGTTTAGTAAGACAAAATATTTTTTAAAAATAATTTTCACAGTAGTAGAAGTCAGTTTGAGTCAGACACATATTAATTTATTGTTATTTAGATAAAATTCAGACAGAAAAAATATTTTTGAAAATTTTTTTTCTTTTGCAGTAGTAAAAGTAAATTTTAGTCAGACGTATCTTATTTAAATATATTCATTAATGTCAAAATAAATAAAAAGTTAAATTTCTTTTACACTTATAACACACTATTAATTATTAATAATTATTTATATTAATTTTATTAAACACCTATTCTTTTATTATCAGGAGAAATAAATTAAATTGTGAAATTTAAAATAATCTACTTATTCAAATAGCTTTACATGTTCTCCTAATATGTCTCTGTAAATATTGACCCAAAAACTCTCTCGGTCTTTGTAAAGACCTTTCTCCATTTTCAGAGGCAAATTGATATTCATGTAATTTCCTTCGGGACCTAAGGGCTCCCAATTTACCGTAATATCATCGTCCAATTTGTTCGTAGGATTCCTGACAATATTAAATAACAAATAATTAAAGGGATGATAAAAAATAAAGTGACGTAAATAAGTATTAATTTATAAAAAAAAGTGACGTAAATAAATATAAAAATTTGAAAAAGTAACGTAAATAAATATAAAAGTTTGAAAAAGTCACGTAAATAAATATAAAAATTTGAAAAAAGATGACATAAATAAATATAAAAAAATAGTGACATGAATGATAAAAAAAATATTTTTAAAAAATGTAAGAGTTTGTCTAAAAATTTAAAACAATTTGTTGGTAAAAAAAATAATATGCAATTTCACCTATTTTTAACAAAATTCGTCCATAATTTCGTAAAAGTTTTTTTCATTTTCTCATCAGGTGAACCCGGTTCTGGCTTGTTATTAAAATACTTGGAATAAAATTCGTAAGCCAAATCGTCACCGTGCGACACTCCAGCTGAAAATAGAGGAAAATAAAGTTACCTATACGTTTTTCGAGATAAATTTAAATAAAAAGTTTCTAATTTGAAGGATATAAAAATGTAATTGTTTTTTTTCGTTACTCGCATATTTTATAAAAATAATTTTCTTTATTTATGATAATAATTTTGATAATTTAAAATAATTATTTTTTTTATTTATATATATAGAATCAATTTAGTACCTTCTTCAACTTTTAAAAAAGTTTTCACGAAACCAGCTGTTGAATTATAAGAAAATAAATATTCATAAATTGGTCGTTTATTTTTCGCTGCCATCATTTTTGTCATAATTGCAACTCCGTAAGTGAAATAAACGTCACTTGTTAACTGAAATTTTTTATAACATTTCATTAAAAATTTATTAAAAATTTATTTGAAATTGAAAATTTGTTTTAAAATTTATAAATTTTTTTTATACCTTTGTAAATTCTGAAACACTTTTTGAAGTTAAAGCCTTTCCATCAAAATAGAATTTTCTTATTGATTCTGAAATTTCCTTGAGTTTTCCATCGTCTGTAATATTTAAACTGTCTGGCACAAATAACTCCAAATGATTATTAAGTTCGTCTGCCTTTGGGAGGAATTCTGTTTAAATAAAAAAGGCTTTTATTAATTATATTATATTGATAATTGATATTTTATGTTTTAAATGAAATAGAAAAATAAATTTTCAGCAACCTTTCGTCATAAAAATCATTTCGTCTAAAGCGTAGCCAATAATTAAGGGCACATCGGCAAAACTGCCGGATTTCATCATCTCCCACGGATCGGTTGGCAAAAATACTTCCTGGCCGGCTTGTGGCTCAACTACAGGCACAAACGCATGCATTCGACCTTTCAATGAATTCTGGGAAATTCAATAAAAGTGATTGTCAATTCACTGGCATGTAAATATATATATCGAAAATCAATCAAAAAAAAGCATTTAAAAAAAAAGAGTTGATAGAATAATAGAGAATAAAAACGAAATTCGAAATTGTTTTATTTTCTCCCAAAAAAAAATTATATACTTTTGTAATATTTTTATATTCTCTTAAAAAATAAGAAGATTTTACCAAATTTTTCTCAATTTCCATAGTCGCGTCGACAAGTTGTTTCGCTGTAAATTCTGCCAATTTTTTAACAAGTTCTGCAGAATCGGTGGTTTTCACTCCCAAATGTTCGCCCAATTTGAAGGACATTTCCTTACCATCGTGAGCGATTGCATAACCGCCCAAAGCAGTTCCACTCTGCATAATGGCACTTTTAAATAATCCTGTAAATTAGTTAATATTTCGGTTAACTATATGTATATTGTAAATTCGAAAATTGTAATTTCCATAAAATAATTAGAACTTGACCTTTTGACATTGGCGAAAGCATATGATAATGAACAGAAGATGAACCGACGCTAACTCCCGCAATTGAAACTCTATTCGGACAACCACCGAATTTCTGGATATTTTCCTTAACCCACCGAAGGGCCATTACCTGATCCTTTAAACCAACATTTCCCGGAGCGTTAGCGTCGCCAGTACTTAAGAAACCTAAAAAAATAGTACAAAAAAAGAGTTTTAAATATGTAAATATTTTACAAAAGTTATTCGAGAAAATATATTATCTTCTAGGGAAATAACAGAAGAAGTGAAGAAGAAAAAGGAGAATAAAGAAAACACAGTAAATCGTGAGGTATTAAAAAGTGTTGCAGATCAAATTAACACCAAAGAAAGATTAAAATAATCAATTTTGGTGTTATTTTTTACAATGAATGAAATTTTAGTTCATTAAATTTTTTTATAACTATAAAACATGAAGATATCGATAACTCCGAGTCTTCGACTCGGAGTCATCGATTTCTTCATAATTTATAATAATTAAAGATGACCAAGTAATAAAATCATTATTTTATATTATAAGAATATTATGCTTCTTCAAAATTATTTTCATTATTTCAATTCAATTATTATTTTCAAAAATTTTTAACTACAATTTTACTTATTATATCAACTATTTTTAATAATTTTCAAAAAAGTTCTTTGGCAATTTTCAAATCCATTTGTTTACAATATTCAATTTCACGAAATTTCAATTATTCCTAAATTCTTTAATTAAATGCATATTCGAAAATAAAAACTTCAAATAATATAAAAGAAAATTCAATTCAACTTTTTCAAAAAAATTAATTTCAAAATTCAATTACATCTAAAAATTCACGCTATATTGCTTTTAATATTCAATTATTATCTGGAATTTTAACTGAAATTCATTTTTATGAAATGAAAATCAATTTTTATTAGAAAATTCGACAAGAATTTAATTATTTAAATGAAAAAGTAAATAATTTTTTGAATAATTGAATGTTTCTCAAAATTCAATTCTCATAAAGAATTTTATTAAAAAATTTTTCAATAATTGAATTCTGTTCTCGAATTTTATTAAAACTTGCATGAACATAATTATTTATTTCAAGGAATTCAATTATAATTGTATGAAAAATAATTGATACGCTGCGATGAGTTTTATTATTAGTAAAAATAATTGAATCCTTAAGAAGAATTTTATTACTCTTGAAAATAATTGATTTTCTGCAAAAATTTCTAACTTCTCTAAAATTAAATTAATTTCTAGTGTTTTTAACTAAAATTCTTTAATAAATCCATTATTTTCAATAATTTTTAAAAAAGTTCTTTGAGAATTTTTAAATTCATTCGTTTTACAATTCAATTTTACAAAATTTCAATTATTTGGAAATTCTGCAATTAAATATATATTGAAAAATAAAAACTTGAAATAATATCAATAAAAATCCTATATTAAATTTTTAAAAAGAATTAATTCTACAGAATTGTTTGGCAAAAATATAAAAAATTAAGAATTTCAATGATTTTAGTTTAAAACTTTTTCAAAATTTAATTATTTCTAAAAATCCACGTTATAATGCTTTTAATATTTAATTTTAATCTAAAATTTTAACTGAAATTCATTTTTATGAAATGAAAAACCATTTTTATTAGTAAATTCTACGAGAACTCAATTATTTAAATACAAAAATAAATAATTTATTAATTTCATATTTCTGGAAATAAAATTTTCATAAAAAATGTTATCAACAAATTTTTTTAATCATGAAATTCTTTGGACGAATTTTAATAAAATTTTTAAAAATAATCACATTTTTCGAGGAATTCGATTAAAATTGCATTAAAAATAATTGAAATTCTGCAATGAGTTTTATTATGAAAATAATTCAATTTTTGTCACCGAACAATTATAAAGTTTTTAAAAAATAATTGCAATCTTGGCAAGAATTTAAAAAAAATCTTTTTAAAGAAATGATTTTTTCCAAAAAAAAATTTGATGAAAATATTGTGTTTTAAATAATTGAAATTCTTTAAAAATTATTTATGAAGATAAATGAATTCATCCAAACAATTTTATTATAACGATTATTATTAAAATTTTAACAAATAATTGAATTCCTGTGATAAATTTTATTATTTATGAAAATAATTAAATTTTTGCAAAGAATTTTATTAAAATTTTTAAAAAAATATTTGAATTGCTGAAAAGAATTTTATTATTTTTAAAAGTAATTGAATTCTGAAGAAGATTATTAGTTTTTTTTTAATTATTGAATTATTGCGAAGAAATTTATAAAAAAAATTGTAAATAATTGAATTCCTAGGAAATTTTATGATTTATGAAAATAATTAAATGTTCGCGTAGAATTTTATTAATATTTTTTTTAATAATTGAATTAATTTGGAAAATTTTTAAAAATAATTGAAATTTTGCGTAAAAATTTATTAAAAATTATAAAGTTTTGAAAATGATTGAATTTTGAAAAGTTTATTATTTATAAACAGAATTGAAATTTTGAAAAAGAATTTTTTTTAAATTTTCAACATAATTGAATTTCTGCTAAGGATTTTTCTGGAAATTAAATTCTCATAAAAAATGTTATCAACAAAATTTTTAAATTGATCATTAAATTTTTTGGACAAATTTTAATAAAATTTTTAAGATTAATTGCATTTTTTGAGGAATTCGATTAAAATTGCATTAAAAATAGTTGAAATTCTGCAATGAGTTTTATTATTTATGAAAATAATTGAATTCCTAAAAGAATTTTATTATTTATAAAAATAATTGAATCCCTGTAAAAATTTTATTATTTATGAAAATAATTGAATTATTGCGAAGAAATTTATAAAAAAAATTGCAAATAATTGAATGCCTGTAAAAATTTTTATTATTTATAAAAATAATTAAATGTTTGCGTAGAATTTTATTCAAATCTTTTTTAATAATGGATTTCTTTTGGAAAATTTTATTGAAATAGTAGATATTGAAAATCATTGAATTTTAGAAAACTTTTGAAAATAATTGAAATTTTGACAAGAATTTGATAAAAATTTTGTAAAATAATTGAATATCAGAGAAGAATTTTATTATTTATTTATAAAGAATTGAAATTTTGACGAGAATTTTTTTTAATTTTTGAACATAAAGAAGAAAAAGGAAAGTAAAGAAGAGAAAGGAGAATTGACAAAAAGAATACATAACGAAAAAATTAGAAAAGAAAAAAAAAGAATTCAAGAGGATGAAAAAAACAGAATGAAATTTTACAAGACGAAAAGGTAAATTTGGATTTGAAGTATAGAAAAGAGACTTTAAAATACATAGTATTGTAAATAATTTTTTTATGATTCAATTTTTCAATTTACCTAGTGCACCGAGTCTGTAGTTCAAAGTGACGAGAATGACGTCATCGTCGATGAGAAAATCTGGACCAAAGAGATCATCATCTCCCGAGCCGGCATTGAAAGCGCCTCGATGAAAAAATACAATAACAGCTTTTCGAGCATTTTTATCCAGAGTCGGTGTATAGACATTGAGAAAGAGGCAATCTTCATCTCCAAATAATCCCTTGCGAATATGACAATAAAAGACACATGTCGAGCCATGTTTCGTTGCATCTAAAACTCCCTGCCAAGGCTCTGGTGGCTCCGGTGCCTATAATAACAAATCTTTCATCTAAATAAAAACAAATTTCCCCAAATTATTCTTAATTCACTTTTTGTGTCGAATTCCACTGTCTAATTTTATATAATTACAATTATAATATGATTTTTCATTATTTTTTTAATTTGTATATTTGAGCAAAATTAGTTTTACATACAGGTACATTTACATATTTGAGCAGAAAGTTAAAAATAATTATTTTAAGTGCATTTGAAGCATTTTGTCGTCACTGTTTTAGAAAACATGCTTTTGTACAAACTGTGACCACTGTAAAAAGAAAGGTACGAATTTAGTACCAATTTTGGTTTTAATTTTAATATCGAAATCAGCTTTAATTTAAAACCTTTTTTTTACAGTGTGATAATGGTTCAAATGACCTTAATATAATTATAATATAATTATTTTAATATTATTGTTAATTGTTAACATTTGAAATTGGCAATAATTGTAGTCACTGTGATATGAATCGAGGTTATAAGAAATATGAGCGCAGAAGATCACATAGTATAGCCTTTTGTTATTCCGTTAGGTAATCGAACAGGTTTTCCCAATAGAGTTTCTAATGGCACTTTTTCTTTCCATTTTTATACTGGCACCAACTGCTGGATTCCTGTTACATTCTATTCTTGAAAAAAATTCTATTTCTATGTTTACAAACAAAATTCAAATAAAATACTGGTAAATGTAAATTTTATGTGTCGCTCTACGATGAAAGGGACCTTTTCTGAAATAAATAAATAAAAATACCTTTACCCTTGCTGACCTTTGCTGCAAAAAATTTTGGGATTTACTTCATTAAAGATTTATTTTTGATTATTTTTGAAATCAAAAACACTTTCTATTGCTAAATGTATTCTAAAAAATAAATATTAAATTCATTTTCATTTGTTTTTCACATCAAACTTTAGTTCTGTGTCCCTTTCACGGTGGAGAGGCACAAATACATTTTTTAACTTCTAGGCTTCGCACTCATCTCCTAAAACCTACTATTTACTATTTTTTTACGATTAGCTATACTATTTGGATACTTTTTTTTAAATTTGTGACATTAAAGTATGCTTTTTCCTATTTTTGAGAATTTTCACAAGTTTAAATTTGCTAATAGTTTGAATGAAAATTTTAATAAAATTCTTCATAGAAACAATTAGATTTTATAAATTTTTTTACACAATTCAATTATTTCAAAAATTTTTCGAAAATCTTTTGCGAGAATTCAGTTATTTTCACAAATAATGAAATTCAAATATTTTCAATATCTATTATTTTATTTATTCATTTAGATATACAAATTTATATATTTTAATAAAATTTCTCAAAAGAATTCAATTATTTATAAAAATTTTTTTAAAATTCAAAGCGAAAATTCAAATTATAAGAATAATAAAATTTTCCCACTAATTTAATTATGTGACATAAATTAAAGGAAATTTTTTCAAAGAAATCAATTATTTAAATATTATAATAAAATTCTTTAAAAAGAAATTAATTATTTATTAAAAATTTGTTTATAGGGATTAAATTATTTTCATAAATAATAAAATTCATAGCAAGAATTAAATTATTTTTAATACAATTTCAATAAAATTCCTCGAAAGAATTCAATAATTTTTATAAATAATAAAATTTTTCAAAAAAATTCATTTATTTAAAAAAATTTAATCAAATTCGTTAGAAGAATTCAATTATTTTTAATATAATTTTGAATAAATTATTCTAAATAATTGAAAATTTAACAAATTTAATTTTTTTTTAAATTTTCATAAAATTATTCAAAAAAATTCAATTATTTAAAAAAACTTTAATAAAATTCGTTGGAAGAATAATTTTAATAAATTCTAATTAAATTCCTCAGAAGAATTCAATTATTTTCAATGCAATTGTAATTACGTTTTTTGAAATATTTGAATTATTCTTTTAAATTTTTATAAAATGAAAAAAGAATTCTATTTTTTCTAAATTATAAAATTTTTCCCAGGAATTCAAATTATTTAAACAAATTTAATAAAATTCTTTACAATTCAATTATTTTAAAAAATAATAAAATTCTTTGTAAAAATTAATAATATTCTAAATTTTTCACAAAATTAGTTTATAATAATTAAATTATTATTTTCATAAATAATAAAATTCACCAAAAAAATCCAATTATTTTTAATCCAATTATAATTAAGTTCTTCGAAATATTTGAATTATTCTTTTAAAATTTAATGAAAAAAAGAATTCAATTATTTTTATAAATAATTTAATTATTGTAGAATTTTTGAATAAGAATTGATTTAAAAATAAATTACAGTTAAAATTTTAAATTATAATAATTGAATATTAAATGCGTTACAATATGAATTTTTATAGAATTTTTTGTAAATTTGAAAACGGTTTACATTAATTAATGGAAAATTTTTTTCAAATTTAATTGAAATAAATGTTATGTTTTAAAAAAAATTTCTAATTAAATGTTTGGAAAAGAATTGAAGTTTAGAAGAATTTAGAATTGAATAAGTTATTAACAGGAAACAAACATTTTTGATTGAAATCAGGAAAATGTCAGAGAAATACAGAATGAAATTTTTAAAAATTTTGTGAATCGTCTAAAATAAATTTTTAGTAGCCAAATTTAATTTTTCGGTAGTAGCTACTTTTTTATCACTTTTTCAGTTTTAATGCAATTTTTTGATATTTTTTCAGTCTTAAAGCTACTTTTTGCTATACTTATTATTAAAAACAAATTATTGAGTGCGAAACCTGAACTTCTAAAAATATTGTTTTCTTATATGGGTGATTCTTCCAAAAGTCATTTTTGATATCTTGCTTAATTTTATAAAATTCACTCTACAATAATTATTAAACATTTTCATATAGTAAAAATTTAACACTTACTTATCAATTAAAAAAATTAAAAAACTTTATTCAACTGAATTTTATGCACAGATTTCATTATAAAACAAATTGATACTCAAATGGATCAAATTGATGACAAAAATTTACATCAATTTTTGATTTGATTTTTTTTAAATTAATGTCAGAAATTACAATTTTTTTCTATTATTATGTTTTATTTTTTCTATCATGTAGATTTTAGAAATTCTTATAGACTTTAGTTTTGTATAAGATAATTTGAAAAAAACTTTAAAAAACAAAGTTCAAAAGTAGCACTTTTAGAAAAATCACCCATGGGTATATAATCCAAAATATGAGACAAACAATTTTATATCTATATAGACAAATTTAATTATTTAAACTCACTCGAAATTTATTTAGTCCAACATTGGGTTGAGCGTATGGAATTCCCTTAAAGCTGAAATAAGGTTTATTGTCCGTTATTGTAATTGCTTTTAAACCCTTCAGCTTTCCTTGGCGAATTTCAAGATTAATTTCTTCCTCCGCTGTCGTGCATATTAAAAATATGCAAAAAACAAGAAGCTTGAAAATCCACATTTTTCCGTCAAAATATGCTATTATTTTATTGAGCGCGCTTGCTTTTATATAGTCTTCCTAAAGATTAAGTGTCGGTTGACAATCAAATTTTATATACGGTTGCAAACAACATTATGCAACATCATAAACATCAATATGTGTATTTATCATGCAATCCTTTGATACCTCGATTAGTTCTGGAATTTTCTCCTTTACTCAAAATTAATATTAAATTATACTAGTATAATTCTTTTATTATTATATATTATTATTACTATTATTATTTATTTATTTAATTATTCAAAAATAAATAAATAATAGTAATAATAATATATAAATGTAGAAAATTTGAAGCAGGTCAACATTTTATTTTTCTATCTTAGCTTATAAATGCACTTTTCCTCTTTTCTTCTTTGCATATTTGCAAATTGTTGCACAAACATTTTAAACAATGGAAATTTAATATACCTGCAAGTTTCTGAAGTTAAGTCACGTTTCCTGATATTATCTGCAATATTTCGGCGGATTTATGTTATAGTCATTATGCAGTTACTTTAGTAAAATGAGAATAATTATTAATTATATTTTTCATTTAAAAACTAAAACTTTGCTATTTTAAGGTATAAACTGCGATGAATTATTTAAAAAAAAGATAATATTGTATATAATTTGCGTGCTTTGTTCCATAATAGTTTGATTCAGCTTCCAATTTTTATTTTCATTATTGTCATTGTTAACGTTTTTGTATTGAAAACATCAATCATTAATTTTCGTTACACAAATCATTTCTTTGTTGCATATAATTACAAGAAGGAAATAACTTAAATCGAAACTTCATAACCCACAAGCTTGTTATTAAAGTTTCATAACATAATTTTACAAAGTCACTATAATATATATGATTCATGTTCCTCTATAGTATTTTTCTATAAACGATTTTTAATAATTGAATGCTTTCATAGAAAAATTTATATTTTCTTCCGAACAATATGTAAATATTAAGAACTATAGAATAGAAAAACTATAGAAAAACTATAATTTTTCTTTTGCTCTTAATATTTACCGCGGTACATTCAAGGAAAGGCTACGGAGATAAAAATTAATTTTCTTTAACATTTAGGTATTCACATATCTTTTTATGAAATTTATATAAAATTATAAATATTATACCAAACTTTTATATTATAGTAAATAGTATAGGTTTTAGTAGATGAGTGCAAAGCCTGCCTCTACTTTCCAACTTATCGACAGAGAGTATATACGACTGGTTAAAGAAGCTACTCTAGAAGTCATGTTCACCTGATCCATTCTTATTCAGGGAAATACACGGGACCGATATTATTTATTGTCTGAATTGTCTCGATCAATTCAAACAACTTTCACTTTCAAAACGAACTTCGTTAAAGTAACTTCCACTTGAAATATACCAACCTAATACGCGAGCACCACTCAGAACACCCTTTGCTTTCCCATGGGACATTGTCGGGACCATTTTCAAGAAACAATTGACCAGTTCTCACGATTACGAACCTTATTCTCAATTTGCATTTTCAGAAATATGAGAAGACATGAAAAAAAAAATTTGTCATATAAAGAAACACTTCGACTTGCTTTATATATAATACTTGATGCTTGAAGCAACTGTACGAAGCTAAAAATTTCAATAAAGAGTGAATAGTTTGTAAACATAGTTTGTAAAAAATACAAAATTTTTCTTTTGTGTACGGTCAGTCGAGTAATCGAGTCGATAATTTTCATAGTAAAAAAAGGGTGGTTTAAATTTTTATTGAAGAAAATGATGGTTTAAATTTTTATTAAAGAAAATTATAGAAGAAGAGACTAAAACGGAAAAATTGAATTTTACTCTCGGATATAAACTTTATAAGTTTATAAAGTGTCAATTAACTGTAAAAATAGACGAAACGATGAAAAAATTTTGAACTTAATTCGAGCCTCGTGGGTACAAGTAGGTTGTTTAGTGAAGGTTAAACTATCAGGGGGCGTAGCTCAGATGGTAGAGCGCTCGCTTAGCATGCGAGAGGTACCGGGATCGATACCCGGCGCCTCCAAATCTTTTTTTTAAATATTATAATAAATCTTTCTTTTTTTATAATATTTATAACATAAATTTAAATTAAAAATTTTAAAATAAATTTTAATTTTAAATTTGAATACACACAGAAAACTGAGTGTTGTTTTTATTTCGGGTAATATTTTGGTTGGGTAATCTCATTTGAGGGTAAATATTCATAATAGAAAATTTATCCTATTTTCAGTGTTGATATATATAACACTACCGCGGGTTAAAATTTGATGCAGACACTTTTCACATCGAATTCAGTGTTAAAACAACACTCGCTGGTAAATTTGAATTTTTTACCATTTTAGACGCAGTTGGAAGTTTATAATTTTTTAAAAATTTTATTTTGATCTTAATTCAAAAACTAAAATAAAAAATAAACATATTGTAAAATTTTATATTTATAGATTTCACTATTGGACAAGGACTGCAAAATTCTCCGATAAATTATAAAGGCTTCGTTAGAATATTTTGTCCGGTTGACAAATATTTGGAGGAGCAACCCAAAAATCGAGTCGACACGTCGATGAAATTAACCCTTCTAAGAGCTGAAATGAACCGAATTACAACAATAGAAGGTCCTCCACTTGATGCTTATATCGTAACCTCAGACGATGAACATCAGGTAATTTTTTATTTTTCCTCATTTTAATTTTTAATAGTTTATCATTATATACACTGAAAAAAAATTATTATTTGATTCTGATTCAAATAACCGGTTACTTGACTAGGGTATACTATTATCAATATTTATATATTGATATAAATAAATATTTATTTGATAATATACAACTAATCGTTTATTGTGAATCAAATAACTTTTTTTCAGTGTAAAAGAAATGCTATATTCGTTTTTCCCTTTTTTTTTGTAGAAATTTACACACTGTAAAAGTCTGATATTAAATGAAATTCTATTCACAATTTTCAGAGCGGAAAATACATAGCTAATTCTCGAGAAACAATTATAGAAAGAATACAGGTATTAAATTGTATAGCGACATACAGATTTAAATTTTAATTTTTTGCCAAGTGTTGCGCAATTGTGAGCTTTTCTTTTTTGTATTATATATATTATATAATAGAATTAACAATTTAAACAGAATGTTTAATATGTATGGCTATATTCAAAATGTATACATTAACTTGTATGATTAAACATGTTTGCATGTTGTGTTTTTGAACCTATAAAATTGTTAAATTAGAGCCATGATACCACAAAACATTGCAGTTTCTAGAATTATATAAGCGAATGTGTTATATGCGGTGAAATGTTCCCAAAATTTGCATAGTAACGTGTTTAGGAATATTTATTACACTTCTAACATCAGCAACTGTTATCATTAGAGATATGAAACTACAGTCTGTGTATAAAGTGTATAGTATAAACTTTAAAATGCAATTAAATTTTCGTAAAATTAATATTTTTAATGTCGAAAAATATTATAGTCGAGTTGAAACATTTACTCTAATTTAATTACACAAAAAAATTAATTTATTGAATACGAAATAAGTGCTTATGGATAAGTAATTAATAAATCTGGGTGAATTATTTTATTCTGTTTGATAGAGTGAAACTGTTCACGAACACGACAGAAGGAGAGAATACATAACAGGATTTCAGGGAAGTTCAGGAGATGCGCTAGTGACGATGAATAAGGCAGTTCTGTGGACTGATGGAAGATATCATCTTCAGGCTGATGAGCAAATAGATTGTAAATGGACCATAATGAAAGAAGGCCGTGAAGATGTACGCTTTTTACTTTTAACTTTAAATACAGAAAAAAATAATTTTTTAGACGTAAAAATTGATGTTTAATTAAAATGTGGTAAACTATGCGAGAAGAAGCCTGAAGTACCGACTGACAATTTACAATTGCGGTAAGAGTTTCCAGTGGTGCGCACTTGTCTTGGTCATTTTCTTGATTCCCCCTGCCTCTCTAACACTAACTTAACGACAGTGATGGCTCAGTGGATAGAAGTTTCAAGAAGTGACCGCCAGGGGGCGAGTGTAAATTCTCTCACAAGCGAGTTGACGTATGAAAAGTATAAAGTCTGAGACGAGACAGTGGAAAGACAAGATCATACTTCACAGGATCATTTCTGTAGTATATCTTCACGTCCTCTCTACCCAAAAGTGGAGTCGATGCAGCCACGATGATGAGCAGTAGCTCTTCTCTCTGAGCGTGAGAGGCTGCTGGCGAGATCGTTTTCACGATCTTTCCAGTACTCGAGGATCGTTCGCTATTTGCAGTTTGTGCAAATAGTAATGGGAGTTTGAGCGTTCTGAGTGGTCTTCTATTATTTATTTCAAACAAAATTTATTCCCCAAACTATTAATTTATTATCAGGGTTGTCAACAAAAATTTAATTTTCCTCTTCCCTGATTTTCCAGACAGAATTTTAATTTTTTTCCTGAACCTATGAAATATTCTGATTCACTCTAAAAATTATTAGATACTCAAAAAAATGTACTATTTCATTTATTTACGAATTTCTTTAATTGGAAAATTATTCGAAAACATCAATATCTTGATTTATAAATATGATTATTATTTTTCAGTAGTAATTAAGATTTTAAAAAATTTCAAATTCAACAACTTATAAGAATTTATTATAAAACATGACAGAGTGATTATTTTATATTATAAGAATGTTATTACTGTAGCTTCTTTAAAATTATTTTTATCATTTCAAATTCAACCATTATTTTCTAGAATTTTTAACTTAAATTCTTCTCTAAATTAATTATCTTTAATAATTTTTTGAGAATTTTCAAGTCCATTTGTTTACAACTCAATTTTACGAAAATTCGATTATTCGGAAATTCTTCAATTAGAAATGAAAAATAGAAAATTAAAATAATTTAAAAAGTAAATTCAATTAAACTTTTTCAAAAAAATAAATCTCCAGAATTTGTAGTTAAATGTATAAAAAGTACAGATTTTCAAGGATTTTTATTTGAAACCTTTTTAAAATTCATTTACTTCTAAAAATCCACGCTATAGCTTTTAATATTTAATTATTATCTATATAATTTTAACTAAAAATCATTTTTAAATCAATTTTCATTAAAAAATTCTACAAGAATTTAATTCTTTAAATACAAAAATAAATAATTTATTGAATAATTGAATGTTTATTAAAATTGAATTCCCATAAAGAATTTTATTAACAAATTTTAAAATAATTGAATTCTTCTGACGAATTTTAATCAAATTTTTAAGAATAATCTTTGAAATCATTTGAAATGATTGATTTTTTGAAAAAATTTCTATAAATTCTATTTTAAATAATTGAATTCCTGTGAAACTTTCATTATTTATAAAAATATTTTTTTTAAATAATGGAATTTTTAGGGTAAATTTTATTTAAATATTATAGGTATTGAGAAAAATATTGAATTGAGCAATATTTTTGAAAATAATTAAAAATTTTTAAGAATAATGTCATTTTTCTAAGAATTCAATTAAAACTGTATAAAAAATAATTCAAATTCTGCGATGAATTTAATTATTTATGCGAAGATAATTGAATTTCCAAAAGAAATTTTATTATCTTTGAAAATAATTGAATTATATTGCAAAGAAATTTATATAAAATTTGTAAATAATTGAATCCCTGTGAAATTTTTATTATTATTTATGAAAATAATTAAATGTTTTTAAACTGTTTTTTAAATGAATGAATTTTATTAAAATTTTATTATAATAGTAGATATTGGAAATCATTGAATTTATAGGGAAATTTTTGAAAATAATGGAATTTCGGAAAAGAATTTTATTATTTATAAAGATATTTGAAAATTTTGAACAGAATTTAAAAACATTTTTGAGCATAATTGAATTTTTGGGAAGAATTTTATTAATTTTGAAAATAATTGAATTTCTGGAAGCATTTTTAACTTCTGTAAAATTCAATTTTCATTAGTGCTTCTATAAATCCATTATTTTTAATAATTAATTAAATATATCTATATTAAAAATTTTACCAATTTCATAACGTTCATCAATTTATGGAAATTGTAAGCGCAACTCTTTTAAAATTGAATTAATTCGAAATATTTAAGTAATATTATTTATTAAATAATTTCTATGTGAGAATTTTATGTTAATTCTTCAATAATTAAGTTATTTAAAAAGAAATTATTATGTCAGAAATAGAAAACATTAATTATGTTTTGTCTTCAATTAAAATTTAATCCTAATTCCAATTAATTTAAATTCTCATTTAATATTGAATCAAATTGTTTAATATTCTAATATTAAATTTAATTCTATGAATGTCGTGACAGAAATATTTATATTTAATTTATATTATTTATAATAATTTATAATTAATTATATAGATATTTATAATTGATATATTAAATTTTTAACACAATTATTTTAGTTCTTAAAAATTTCTTTTTAATTTCAAATTTATAATACCAAATCCAAAGTATCGTTTTGATGGAAATATTGCTATTTATAATTTATATATTTAAAATTTTCAAACCAAGCGTATAATTAGAAAATAAATTTGTTGTAGGTCCCTACAATAACTCAATGGTTAATAAATGAATTTAATGGTCGCAGAGCTAGGGTTGGAGCAGATCCAAAACTTATACCAGCGTTCAGGTGGAAACTTTGGGAAAAACAATTTGGTAATAAAAGTTTTCCACTATACAACGCACACGAAAACACTTCTTTCTTTAGATTTATTTCAGACTACAACGAAGCAATTTTCTTTTATTTTTTTTTTCTTTAACTAATTTTTTTTCCCCGTTGTGAAAATTGCGCTCGTGTGGTCAACATTTTTCCTTCTTTCTTCATTTTTTCTGTCTAGGAAAAGAATTTTTTTGAGAAAAGAAAATTTTTTAAGACTTAATCAATTAAGTGTACTTAATTGTTTTTATTTATTTATAAATTATTTTATAAATTTATTTATAAATTATCTTATAAATTTAATTATATAAATTATTTATTTATAAATTCCAGATGTAAAATATAAATGGATAATAAATGGTTAATAGAATGTTTAGAAAGAGGGAAACTATTTTTCATTTACGAAAATCTTAATTTATTATTAAATCTTAATTAATTTTTATGAAAGAAAGAGACTTTAATATTTTTAAAAATTGGACAGAGAACACATCGGTGAGTTTGGTGCCAGTTCGTGAGAATTTGATTGACAATATTTGGAAGGTGGGAAGAAAGGAGTACAGCAGTTTGGCGGCATTTGTTCTTGATGATAAATATTCGGGTAAACCGTGGCAGGAGAAAATAAAACAAGTGCGATTAGAAATGGAATTATCATCGGCTGATGCACTGATAATTACTGCCCTGGATGAAATTGCCTGGCTTTTCAATATTCGTGGCTCTGACTTGCCGTACACTCCGGTCCTCAGGGCTTACACAATCATTACCTATGGGGCAATTCATCTTTATGCTCCACGCAACAAGCTGAAACGAAGTACAGAAACTCATCTCAAAATGGATGCATGTTACCATGCAGACTGCGTCAAGTAAGTGTAATTATTACTGACGCGGACCCATTGTTATATTTGATTATACATGTCGTGTGTGTGAATATATATTTACGTGACTCCTGTCATGTGACTCAAATTTCTCCCCCGTCTTTTGGGACAATGTGCCGATTATAATCAATATTCAAGACAGAGAGTTAGTGTTAATTAAAATTTATTTTTCATATCTTCAAATCAAAATTTTATTACAATCATTATACTCCTCATGTACTAACTAAACTTTTAATAATAAAAATGTTTATACTAATTTGAATAAGGAACTGACTTTTTGCTTTTGAATTAGTAAATTTTACTAATCAGTAGAAAGTACTATTTATTAGTAAATTATAAATTTACTATTAAATTAGCAGAAATAATTATTTATTAGTAAAATTTACTATTAAATTAGCAGAAATTTCTATTTATTAGTAAAATTTACTATTAAATTAGTAGAAATTACTATTTTTTTAGTAAAATTTACTATTAAATTAGTATAAATTACTATTTATTAGTAAACTTTACTAATTTACTAATTTCTGCTAATTTAATAGTAAAATTTATTAATTCGAAAGCAAAATACTCTGTCACTAATTTAAATTAGTAAACATCTTTACTAATTGAAATTTAGAGAGTATCACAGGCTTCGCACTCATCTACTAAAACCTACTATTTACTACTTTTTTACAATAAGCTACTATTTGGATACTTCCTTTAAAATTTGTGACAATAAAAGCTACTTTTTTCTATTTTTGACAATTTTCACGAATTTAAATTCGCTAATAGTTGGAATAAAGAAATTATTCTTAAAAAATTCAATAAAATTCTTCTTAGAAACAATGAGAATTTTTTTTATAAAATTTTTTGATACAATTCAATTATTTCGAAAAATTTTCGAAAATCTTTTACGAGAATTCAGTTATTTTCACAAATAATGAAATTCAAATATTTTCAATATCTATTATTTTACTTATTTATTCAGATATACAAATTTCTATATTATTTATATAAAATTTCCCAAAAGAATTAAATTATTTTCATAATTAATAAATTCTCCACAGAATATCAATTATTTTTAATACAATTTAAAATAAATTATTCTTTTCAATTTTCATAAAATCATTCAAAAAAATTAATTTATTTAAAAAAATTCTATCAAATTCGTTAAAAGAATTAAATTATTTTTAATATAATTTTAAATAAATTATTCTAAATAATTGAAATTTTAACAAATTAAATTTTTTTTAAATTTTCATAAAATTATTTTAAAAAATTTAATTATTTAAAAAACTTCAATAAAATTTGTTGGAAGAATAATTTTAATAAATTTAAATAAAATTTCTCGAAAGAATTCAATTATTTTCATAAATAATAAAAATCATGTGAAGAATTTAATTATTTTTAATGCAATTTTAATTAAGTTTTTCGAAGTATTTGAATTATTCTTTTAAATTTTTATAAAATGAAAAAAAGAATTCTATTTTTTTTGCAAATTATAAAATTTTTCCCAGAAATTAAATTATTTAAAAAAATTTAATAAAATTCTTTACAACGATTCAATTATTTTCAAAATAAATAAAGTTTTTTGCAGGAATTCAATTATTTCCACTAATAATATAATAATTCTTCAGAAGATTTAATTATTTTCAATACAATTTTAATTCAATTCTTTGAAATCTTTTAATTATTTTCAAAAATTTCCACAAAATAACATTTTTAAAGTAATTTAATTGTGTGAAATACAATTTTTATGAAATTATTTCGAAAGAAATCAATTATTTAAACATTTAAATGAAATTCTTTGTAAAAAATTAATTATATTCTAAAATTTTTACAAAATTTGTTTATAATAGTTAAATTATTATTTCCATAAATAATAAAATTCATCGAAAAAATTCAATTATTTTTAACTCAATTTTAATTACGTTCTTCGAAATATTTGAATTATTCTTTTAAATTTAATGAAAAAAAGAATTCAATTATTTAAAAAAAAGTAAAATTCTTTACAGAATTTAAACTATTTTGAATACAGTTTAAAATAAATTTCTCGAAAAATGTAATTATTTTCTAAAGTTTTATTAATATTCTTCGAAAGAAATGAATTATTTTCAAAAATTTTGATAACATTTGTTTTAGTATTTAATTTTAAGAAACAATCAGTTATTTGATCAATTATTGATTTTTGTATTTAAATAATTGAATTCTTGTATAGAATTTTTGAATAAGAATTGATTTAAAAATAAATTACAGTTAAAATTTTAGATTATAATAATTGAATATTAAATGCGTTATAATGTGAATTTTTTATAAAAATTCTTGTAAATTTAAAAAAAGTTTTACATTAAAATTGTTTCAAAATTTTAATTCCTGTAGAAAAATAAATAAGTATTTATATACTTATTGAAGAAAAATTTGAATAATTTAATTTAATTATTTAAAAAGAAAATTTTAATTTTGAAAAATTTTAATTAAAATTTAAAGAAATTAAAAATATTTATTCAAAATTTCCAATTGATGGAAATTTTTGTCAAAATTTAATTGAAATAAATTTTATATTTAAAAAAAAATTTTTTTCTTACTTTTAAAAATTATTTTGAAATATAATCGAATTTTTGAAGAATTCTAAAATTTCTAAAATTTCTAACTAAAAGTTTGGAAAATAATTCCAATTTAGAAGAATTTAAAATTAAAGGAAAACAAATTTTTTAATGGAAATCAGGAAAATGTCAAAGAAATACGGAATGAAATTTTTATGAATTTTGTGAATCGTCTAAAATAAGTTTTTAGTCTCCAAATTTAATTTTTTGATAGTAGGTACTTTTTTCAGTTTTATTGCTACTTTTTTCAGTCTTAAAGCTACTTTTTGCTATTTTAAAAAAAAAATTATTGTGTGCGAAGTCTGTTACCAACAAAATTAATTATAAAGTTTCTAAATGCTAATATAAACTTTTATTGATTAAAATGTATTCTATTTGGGTGATTTTCCACGAAGTGGTAACTTTTAACTACCAGTAACTATTTTTTAAATTAATTTTCTTACTATATATGATAGAAAAAATCAATTTACAATATTAAATATTTTTTATGAAAATCAATTTTGTTTACTTGAACGTTCAAAAACTTGTGCGGATCATTATTAGTTTACAATTTATATTTATTAGTTTTTGAATTTTCATTTATTAAATAAAGAAGCGATTTTCGTTTAATTAGCCCTCGAGGGAAAAATATTGTGTTACTTCATAATTTTAATACTATATATAGAACATTAGAAGGAAATATTAGAAGGGTGGAAAATTGGTTTCAGATGGCATAATTATACATCATTCTGGTATGATATTTCAACAATGTCTCAGGCTTGGAATACAGTTTGGCTTCCCGCCCCTTGTGGGTACGCTCAAGGAGCTTCAGCGGAAATTTTCTTTTCGGTAAGTAATCATGATTTTTTAATTCCAGAAAAATTTTTGAAAATTAAAATTTCAAATTACACTCAGAAAAAAGTTTGTCTAAGTCAAATAAAATAAAGTTTCTAAATGAGTCAAATAAATCTTTTTTCCGAGTGTAGTAACGAGTGTAGTTAATAACGATTAATATAATAATGGAAAATAATTCTAAATAAATAAGTAATAATCTAAAAAAAAATTTAATAATTTTCATATTATAATGAGAATGGGAAAATGATGTCCTCAATTAGATGAAATTAAATGATTAAATTGTACTATTTAAGATTAGTAATATGTTGCATATACTGTTTGTTGATTTTCAAATAGGAGTAAATTTCTAATACAAATAGAAGATGAAATTTACTAAGTGCATTAATCTAAAGTTTCTATACGCTTGTATTTATTTACGGTGTAATTTACACACTTGCTCTATTCCTGTGAAATGCAATCTCAAACAGGATGCTTTCTTAGACATGTTTGCTATGACGGATTCTGTCTTGTCTGTGCGCCGGTAACTTTGATGCTGTAATTCAGAATTTCAATCTCAACACTTCATTGCTGCATATAAACAAGTAATTTTTGCTTGTTAATGTCAATGCTAATTGAATAACAATTCTCGAATTGTTAGTAAACTGTTTCTATGTTATTTTATTCATAATTTAATGAATAGAAATCATAGTTTTTCTAATGATATCAAATTGAGACAAAAAACGTATAAAAATTGTTGTTATTGATTCAAACAATTTTTATTTGATTCAATTAAATCGAATTTCAACCAATAATTGAAGTATTTGAAAAAAAATAGAAACAATTTAAATGACAAACAAACAATTGTTTAAACAAACAATTTAATTGACTTCAATAAAAATTGTTTAATTTAAATAAATATTTACTTGAATCAAATAATTTTTATTTGAATCAGTTAAATCGAATTTGAACCAATAATTTAAGTATTTAAAAAAAATAAAAATATTATAAAAAATACAATTTAATTGTCTCGAATAAAAATTATTTGATTCAAGTAAATATTTAACTGATAATATATTCAAATAATGGGTTATTTGAACCGAGTAAATTTTTTTTTTTTAGAGAAAAATTCTAACGAATCTTGCGCCTATAAGGAGATTAAAGATATATAAGATGTGCGATAATCCTAGTCTTAGTGGCACCCTCTTGGAGATGTTCGCCTGTCCCTTTGGAGCTCGATGAGACCGCGTGACGAGCTGACACGCCCCGTCGACATGAACAGAGCAATGATAACCCGTTCTAATGTCAATTTTTCTTCACTCCAGAAGCCCACGATCAATATTACTTTAATCAGTATCAAGCTCCAAACGCTGATAAATAATTGTCCGCCAAGAATACTGCCGCGTGCCAAGTCATAAAATACCTCCAGACTTTCATATTTTCCGTGGCCTGAGGACGCCTTGGCGCCCGCGGCATCGAACCAATTGCATACAATCACTTTTTTTTACTTTTAAAAATCCACGAAGCAATTGTTGAACTAAATACGAGAACAAAATAATTGTGATATATAATTTATTATTCGCGGATAATTTCTTTTGTTTTTTTTATATTAATTTGCAATTACAATAAAGTGATGGAATTTGGTATATAGAAAATAATATAATTTGACATTAATTTAATTTTTTTATATAGTGATTCGTTATTAATTTTTAATTTGTTACTAATTTTCACTATTGATTATTATTTTAAAATTTTTAATTTTAAATTATTTTTTTTTTAATTTATTTTATGAATATTAAATTCCTTTATAATTTTCTGACTCTAGACTGTGGAGTCAGGTGACAAAATTTAAATCTTAGTCTATTTTGATTAATTAATTAATTAAAATAATTAATTTAAATAAAAATTAAATAATAAATTTTTATTTTATCACAGTAAATCGTGAGGTATTAAAAAGTGTTGCAGATTATATTAACACCACCAAAAAAGATTAAAATAATCAATTTTGGTGTTATTTTTTACAATGAATGAAATTTTAGTTTATTCAATTTATACCTAATATTATTATAAAACATGAAGATATCGATAACTCCGAGTCTTCGACTCGCAGTCATGGATTTCTTTATATTTTATAATAATATTATAAATTAATAATTATTTATTTATAATAAATAATTATAATTATAAATAATTATTTTTTATTTGACCAAGTAGTAGAATCATTATTTTATATATTATAAGAATTTTATACTTCTTCAAAATTATTTTTATTATTTCAATTCAATTATTATTTTCAAAAAATTTTACCACAATTTTACTTTATATCTACTATTTTTAATAATTTTCAAAAAAGTTCTTTGTCAATTTTCAAATCCATTTGTTTACAATATTAAATTTAACGAAATTTCAATTATTCCTAAATTCTTTAATTAAATGCATATTAGAAAATAAAAACTTCAAATAATATAAAAGAAAATTCAATTCAACTTTTTCAAAAAAATTAATTTCAAAATTCAATTACATCTAAAAATTCACGCTATATTGCTTTTAATATTCAATTATAACCTAAAATTTTAACTGAGAATTTTAAATCAATTATTATTAGAAAATTCTTACAAGAATTCAATTATTTATAAATACAATAATAAATAATTTATTGAATAATTGAATGTTTCTCAAAATTCAATTCTCATAAAGAATTTTAGTAACAAATATTTAAATAATTGAATTCTTTTTGTTTTTATTAAAATTTGCATGAACATAATTACTTTTTTCAAGGAATTCAATTTTGTATGAAATATAATTGAAACTCTGCGATGAGTTTTATTATTAGTAAAAATAATTGAATCCTTTTAAGAAGAATTTTATTACTCTTGAAAATAATTGAATTTCAGCAATAATTTCTAACTTCTTTAAAATTAAATTTTTTTCTAGTGTTTTTAACTAAAATTCTTCAATAAATCCATTATTATGAATAAGTTTTAAAAAAGTTCTTTAAGAATTTTCAAATTCATTCGTTTACAATTCAATTTTACAAAATTTCAATTATTCGAAAATTCTGCAATTAAATATATATATTGAAAAATAAAAACTTGAAATAATTTCAATAAAAATCCTATTAAACTTTTAAAAAGAATTAATTAAAAATTTAATTATTTCTAAAAATCCACGTTATAATTATGCTTTTAATATTTAATTATAATCTAAAATTTTAACTGAAATTCATTTTTAAAACCATTTTTATTAGTAAATTCTACGAGAATTCAATTATTTAAATACAAAAGTAAATAATTTATTAATTTCATGTTTCTTGAAATTAAATTCTCATAAAAAATGTTATCAACAAATTTTTTAAATCATTAAATTCTTTGGACGAATTTTAATAAAATTTTGAAGAATAATTACATTTTTCGAGGAATTCGATTAAAATTGCATTAAAAGTAATTAAAATTCAGCAATAAGTTTCATTATTTTTAAAAATAATTGAATTCCAAAAAGAATTTTATTATTTATAAAAATAATTGAATCTCTGTAAAAATGTTAATATTTATGAAAATAATTGAATTATTGCGTAGAAATTTATAAAAAAAATTTAAATAATTGAATTCCTGTAAAAATTTTTATTATTCATGAAAATAATTGAATTTTTGCGTAGAATTTTATTCAAATTTTTTTTAATAATGGAATTCTTTTGGAAAATTTTATTGAAATAGAAGATATTGAAAATCATTGAATTTTAGAAAACTTTTGAAAATAATTGAAATTTTAACAAGAATTTGATTAAAATTTTGTAAAATAATTGAATATCAGAGAAGAATTTTATTATTTATAAAAAGTTGAAATTTTGACGAGAATTTTTTTTAATTTTTGAACACAATTGAATTTAGTAACTATGTCACTAAGTTAGTTAGTAAGTTAGTAACTAACTTACTAACTTACTATTCTCCCTGGAGAAGCTTAATTCGTTGAATTTTTACAAATCGTCGACTTTGGTGTTTTATTTATTTAAAGTAAAATTTCATTCACAGTTAAAAATAACACTAAAATATAGATTATTTTAATCCTTTCTGGTGTTAATTTAATCCTAGAGGGATTAAACTGTTGCAGTGTATTTATTATTAAATAATTTTTATTATTATTTTAATTTTGTATATATTTTTTGGATAGACTCCCTGAAGAGGAAATCATTTAGATTTCAAAACGTTGGAGTAAATAAATATTTTATTCATTGTCCGAATGTTTTCTTTTTATTTTGCTTAATTTATAAAGGATCTTGGACGTTAAAGATTATTTAACTAATTTTACATATAAGGTTATTTTGTTTTTTCAGATTCCAAGGGAGAAGCACTTGGTGAAACCGTCACCTGTTATTCATCTTCGCGCTGAGAAAAATGAAGTTGAAGCAAAGGGGATGAGAAATTCTCACATTCGAGATGCGATTGCCATGTGTGATTTTATGTCTTACATGGAAGAACAAATGGATTACGACACTGAAGGATGGGACGAGAAACAAGTTGTTAGGGCACTTGATGAATTTCGTTTGGAACAAAATCTGAGTCGCGGTTTGTCCTTTCCCACGATTGCTGGTTATGGACCAAATGCTGCTTTACCTCATTATGAACCGTCGAATATTTGTCGACGAATTGGCACTGACTCCACACTTGTCATTGACTCTGGTGGACAGTATGATGGTAATTTATTTTTCAAAAAGAAAAAAAAAATTTTAATATAATTTATCTACACTGTTTTTCTGACATCAAATTTAATTTTTCGATAGCTACTTTTTTTTACTACTTTTCTTACTCTTAAAGCTACTATTTGACACTTTTCTAAAATTAATTGTGTTGAGTGCGAAGTCTAAAAATAAGTTAATAATTAGAAAGGCATTAATTTTATATTTGTTTGTCCGAAAGATGGAACGACTGACATTACACGTACAATGCATTTCGGAATTCCTTCTCCCGAACAAAAGGACGCTTACACGAGAGTTTTAATTGGAAGCATACAATTATCGTCACTAATCTTTCCTGATGATCTACGAACTGATCAGATCGATGTTCTGGCGAGGGAAACACTTTGGAGAAAGGGAGAAGATTATATGCATGGTAGTAGTCATGGAATAGGGCATTTTCTCTCAGTTCACGAACGTAAGAATTGAAGATTTAGTGGAAAAATTTTTTGAGAACAAGAAGAAGAAAATATTTTAAAAATTAAAATAATTCAATTGAATGGTATATTGAAAATAACTGTTACAGCTCCTATTAGTATATCATACCTTGGAGGAAGTGCAAATCCATCCGACTGTAATAACATTCGTTTAAAACCAGGATATTTTCTATCCATAGAACCTGGTTATTATAAAGATTTTGATTTTGGAGTTCGATTGGAAAATATAGTCGAAGTTGTTTTAGCGGACAAACCCGTAAGTTTTTTTTTTTTTTGAGAAATAATAATTTATTTTCTTGTCTAGAAATATTCTCTTATTATTCTTATTGAAATATTTTGTTTTTATCAAATTATTGTTTTTATCAAATTAATATTTTTATCAAATTAATATTTTTATTATACTCATTTCATTCTTATAAAAATAAAATTTTTCAGAAACAATGGGGTAAAAATTATTTAAAATTTCGAGAAGTTACGCTCGTTCCTTATGAGCCGAAATTAATAAACGTGGAGATGTTGACGTCAGCTCAGGTAAGATATAGTTCAATGTTGGTAAAGTAGTTTTAATTTTTCTAGTAGCTTGGTACAGCGTCCGCCAGAGGGCGAGTGTAAATTCTCTCACAAGCGAGTTGGCTTATGAAAAGTATAAAGTCTGAGACGAGACAGTGGAAAGACAAGATCATACTTCACAGGATCATTTCTGTAGTATATCTTCACGTCCTCTCTACCCAAAAGTGGAGTCGATGCAGCCACGATGATGAGCAGTAGCTCTTCTCTCTGAGCGTGAGAGGCTGCTGGCGAGATCGTTTTCACGATCTTTCCAGTACTCGAGGATCGTTCGCTATTTGCAGTTTGTGCAAATAGTAATGGGAGTTTGAGCGTTCTGAGTGGTCTTCTATTATTTATTTCAAACAAAATTTATTCCCCAAACTATTCATTTATTATCAGGATTGTGAACAAAAATTTAATTTTGCTTTTCCCTGATTTCCAGACAGAATTTTAATTTTTTTTCTGAACCTAAAAAATATTCTGATTCACTATAACAATTATTAGATATTCAAAAAAATGTACTATTTCATTTATTTACGAATTCCTTTAATTGTAAAATTATTCGAAAATATCAATAACTTTATTTATAAATAAATATGAGTATTATTTTTCAGTAGTAATTAAGATATTTTAAAAAATTTCAAATTCAACAACTTATAAAAATTTATTATAAAACATGACAGAGTGATTATTTTATATTATAAGAATGTTGTTACAGCTTCTTCAAAATTATTTTCATCATTTCAATCAAATTATTATTTTCTACAATTTTTAAATAAAATTCTTCTTTCAAACTAGTTATTTTTAATATACATAATCTTTGAAAAAGTTCTTTCAGAATTTTTAAATTTATTTGTTTACAACTCAATTTTACGAAATTTCAATTATTCGGAATTTCTTCAATTAAAAATATTAGAAAAGAAAAAATTCGAAAGAAACTCTATTAAAATTTTCCAAAAATTAATTCTACAGAATTGTTAGTTCAATTTATAAAAAATACAGATTTTCAAGGATTTGAAGAATTTTAATAAAATGTTTAAGAATAATAATTAATTTTTTCAATGTATTTCAATTAAAATTGTATTAAAAATAAATAATTGAACTTCTGCCATGACTTTTATTTAGGAAAACAATTGAATTTCTAAAAAGAATTTTATTACCTGTATTTATGAAAATTATTGAATCCCTGGAAAAAATTTTAATATTTATAAAAATAATTAAATTATTGCGAGGAATTTTATAAATCAATTTTAAATAATTCACTTTCTGTGAAACTTTTATCATTTATAAAAATCATTTTTTTTTTTTTAATAAATGAATTCTGTTGGGAAATTTTATTTAAATAGTAGGTATTGAAAGATATTAATTGACCAAAATTTTTGAAAATAATTGAAAATTTTTAAGAATAATGATATTTTTCAAAGAATTTAATTAAAACTGTATCAAAAATAATTTTAAATTCTGTGATGAGTTTTATTATTTATGAAAATAATTGAGTTTCTAAAAAGAATTTTAATATTTATGAAAATAATTGAATTATTGAGAGAAATTATAGAAAAAAATTTTAAATAATTGTTTTTTTTCGAAAACATTTCTGCAAATTTTATTTTAAATAATTGAATTCCTGTTAAATTTTTATCATTTATAAAAATAATTTTTTTGAATAAATTAATCCTTTTGGAAAATTTTATTTAAATAGTTCGCATTGAAAAATATTGAATTAAGGAAACCTTTAAAAATAATTGAAATTTTGGCGAAGAATATTGCATTAAAATCTGGACTAGAATTTTGAAAATTTTTTTGAAAATAATTAAATTTCTGCTAAAGATTTCATTACTTTTAAAAATAATTTTAATTCTTATGATAAATATTGTTATTTATAAAAATAATTTTTGAAAATAATTTAATTTCTATGAAGAATTTTGATATTTATCAAGATAATTGAATTCTTTCGAAGAATTACGTTAAAATTTTGAAAAAAATATCAAATATATATACATATATTAAAAAATTCAACTAATTTCAAAAGAATTGAAATTAAAAGTTTTTTAAAATATGTTATACTTTAAAATTTTTAATTAAAATCTCATAAAGAGTTTCATTAACTAATTTTTAAATAATTGAATTCTTTCGACGAATTTTAATAAAATTTTTATAAATAATTACATTTTTTGAAGAATTTAATTAAAATTTAAATTACATTTTTTTAATTAATAATTTTTAATTTAAATTTTTTACAGTTTAAAACTGTATAAAAAATAATTGAAATTCTGCGATGAGTTTTATTATTCATGAAAATATTGCGAGGAAATTTAGAAAAAAATTCTAAATAATTGAATTCCTGATGTGAAATTTTTTATTGTTTATGAAAATAAATTAATGTTTCCGTAGAATTTTATCAAAACATTTTTTATTAATTGAATTCTTTTGAAAAATTTTGTTAAAATATTAAATATTAAAAATCATTGAATTGAGTGAAATTTTTAAAAATAATTGAAATTTTGCCAATGATTTTATTCCAATTTTTGAAAATAATTGAATTTCGGAGAAAAAATAAAAATAATAATAATAATAATAATTAGTTGGCCAGTAAAAATTATTGAACAATTATAATTCGAACTAATAATTAATTAGTTTATTTATACGATTATAATTTAAATCTCAAAAATTTTAATATGGAAAATATTTTTGTTAGCGTCGATGGTTGAATCAGTACAATCGACGAATCCGAGAGGAAATTGGACGTGAATTGAAGCTTCATTTGAAAGTGAGAGCTTTTAATTGGTTGGAAAAAAAAACTCGAGTCATTCCAGAACGAGGTCCTGTCAATATGGATTTTTTTCTTGCGTCTCACTCTAATTCATTAATTCATGAAAATACCTACCAGATACTTTTTAGTATTTTTATACTTCATCATTTATGTAGTAAGTATGCTAATTGTTTTGGAATTTAAAGAAAATTACTAAAAACTGCTTTATTTGGTATTTTAGTTATTTTTCAAAATTAAAAAATAACTAAAATACCAAATAAAGCAGTTTTCAGTAATTGTTTTTTTAAATTAAAAAAAAATAAATAAAACATTCTCGGACGTAAAAAATTAACTAATTAATCGTTTTATTTTTTTTTGTTATTATTATAATAATTTAATCACCAGTTATAATTAATTGAAATTTAACTTTCGCAGGATTATTATTTTCCATCAGCAGATAACCACTGGCGGCATTTTAGATGACATTATTTTAAAGTAAAAAAAAATTATTTATTTTAGAAAATTCTTTCGGCTGTTGTAGTTATTACGTCGGCTTTTTTTTTAATTTTTATAATCGTAGTTTTATGAGATACAGTTGTAAAAAATATTTAAATAACAGCAATTTGTTATGCTATTAAGATTTATTTAAGTTTATTATAAATAATTTTTCCAAGAGATAAAAATAGACTGTAAGATTTCTGATTTTGTCCGTATTTTTCATCTATTTCGCAATTTTCGATAATATTTTTCTAAATCTAATTATAATTATTTATATTTATTTAATGATACAATACACAATTTAAAAAATTGTGGGAAAAAATACGTATGGCGATTTTTTCCGAAAGTTAGTTTTTTAAGTAGAAAATTTATATAATAAAAAATAAATGCAATAAATTATTTAAATTTTTTATTCTTTTCATTCCCGCGTGTTATAATCCAATTATTAATTTCTCTTTTATTATAATGAAATATGTTTTTAATTGTTTTCAGGTGATGTGTAATTTTCCTTTTAAATATGTTTTGCACGTTTTTTTTTTTTTTTGCAATTTTATATCGTGTAAAACATTTTGTCTCTGGAAAAATAAAAAAAAATAAATAAAATAAAAACCAATTCCGCGTGTGGTTTTAATTGAACATTCCATTAATTTTGAATTTTACAAAAAACATCTTTATTGTCAACCAGTGATTAAAATGGACAGAGACTATGCTTTTTAGAAAAGGCATAAAACTCTGTCGTTTATCAATCAATATTACGAGCGTATTGAAACTCGGGGTACAAAAAAAAAAAAAATATTTCATACACATGAAATAAAATCTCTTCTCGAAAAAATGTTTGAAAATAATATTCAAGCTGAATGTCATGCGACTAGAATTTCATATTATATGCAAAAGGAAAAAAAAATAAAGAAAAAAAGAAAAAAAATTAATAAAATTAAAAATTAATTTTTTTCTTTATTATTATGGAATGCGAAATGAAATTCATGAATTCTGATTTCTGATGTCAATATTTACTGTATTTGTATATGAAATGCACGAATAATAAATAAAATATGGAAAATTATCTGAAAATTTCAATATAATACTAATATTAAGAATCATGATAGTGAGCTCGCTTTTGAAATTGTTTGAAACGCCTAGGGATTTGTGGGTTTGGGTAAATGTGGTTTCCACTTCGGCCACTATCTACTGGCGCTTTTGTGAGGAATAAGTGAAGCGATTTATGTGTACCCGGTCGGTAAGCGGTTTATTGATTAAATTCAAATTCCATTAGTTTCTTGGACCGAAACCATTAACGTGCAATTTCTGTTTACTAATTATTTTCCCTGACTAATTGGCTCCCTAATTAAATTACCGATTAAGCAATTCTTAATTCACTCAATTCTATTTCATCTCGTTCGGAAATTTTCGTTTTCAATATTAATCAACATTAAATTATTAAAAATAATAAATATTTTAATAATAAATATTTTATATTTTAAAAAAATAATAGGACCTTATGTTTCCATATTTGAACCAATAATTTGTATAATTATTGATTATTGTATAATTTTTATAACTAATAAAAAAAATACACTGGAAAAAATTTTGCAGAATATAATTTTTATTAATTATAAAAATTGCGAAGGCTGAGTTCTGAGTATAAGAATAAGGAAGCAAGAGTAGAAAATGTCTGTTAATAATAAATCAAAAATTGTTTGTGCATTCTGATGATTCTTTTGGAAAAGTAAAATTTGTCGAGTGTCAAAAAATAGTAGAACTTGTTGAAGAAAATAGAAGAGAAAAATTGTGAATAAACTCAAAGTAAAATTTTGTTCGGTTTTCGTAAAGTGGCAATAGTAACTGCCAGTGGTGGCAAGACAAATGGCAATCAGCCAATCGCTGTTTATCTTTCTGTAAGAGTTTTGAACATTGTTTATCTTTCGACGTAAGTTTTGTACAGTAGTTCTAATGTCATTTGTCAAACATTTTCCCCTATTACTATTCCCATTTTCAAACTACTTTAGTTTATTAACTTCTTTTGAATAATTTATTATCACTCAATATACACTTTGTACAATTATATTATTAAACTATAGAGCTAAAATAACGCGCGCGGGTTGTTTCTAATTTTATTATTAATTCATATTTTAACAATAATGTCTGTTAACTATTTTAATTTTTTTTTCAATATTCTTTTAAATTTAAAAATAATAAAAAGAAAAAAATATGCATTTTTTGTAATAATATCACTAAAAGTCATAATTAACAAGTAGAAATTACAAACAAATAAATATGATTTTAAGTCTGACTAAAACTTGTTTTTACTACTTAATTTAAAAAAATGTGACATTATTTCTGAAAAAACTTAATTTATAAAAATATAAAAAATAGGATATTTATTTATTTTATTTTATTTGAAGAAAACCAAGCCCAACGGTAAAAACTAAAAACCAATAACAGGGTTACAAAATGTAAACTTAAAAATTACAACTCAATAGCAAATCGTCAACAAATCACGACGCTTGTTTTAAATACTTATGTGTAGCCATTACAAACTCATTCAAGAATGTACAAAATAAATCTATATTTTCATCCTCATTTTTAAGAAATAAATCATTCATATATGAGAGCGATGATTAAGAACCGATGGTAAGTAAAATGGAGCACAAGAACGCGTTGTATACTTTGGTATACTAAAACTTGTTTTTACTACTTCATTTACAAAAACAGTATATTATGTCTGACTAATACTTGTTTTTACTACTTAACTTGGAAAAATTAGACATTATATCTGACTAAAGATTGTTTTTACTATTTAATTTAGAAAAAAAGAAAAAAATGATATTACGTCGGACTAAAACTTGTTTTTACTACTTAATTTAGATAAATAGGAAATTACGATTGACTAAAACATATTTATACAACTCAATTTAGAAAAATAGGAAATTACGTCTGACTAAAGATTGTTTTTACTACTTAATTCAGAAAAAAAAAAGACGATATTACGTTGGACTCAAACTTGTTTTTACTACTTAATTTAGATAAATAGGAAATAACGTCTGACAAAAACATGTTTATACTACTGAATTTATAAAAATAGGGAATTACGTCTAATTAAAGATTGTTTTTTCTACTTAATTTAGAAAAATACGGAAAGTAAAATATTGAGTTTGACTAAAATTTGGTTTTACTACTTCTTTTACAAAAATATGCTATTATGTCTGACTAAAACATGTTTTTACTACTTAATTTATAAAAACATAACAAATAGGATATTAAGTCTGACTAAAGCTTTTTCTGCTACTGATTTACAAAAAAACCATAAATTGGTTAATATGTCTGCCTAAAACATGTTTATACTACTTAACTTTCAAAAATAGGACATTAAGTCTGACTAAAACTTGTTTTCACTACTTATTATAGAAAAATGATATAAATGAAGATATGACGTCTGACTAAAATTTGTTTTTACTACTTAATTTAGAGACATAGGAAATTATGTCTGACTTAAACTTGTTTTTACTACGTTATTTAGAAAATACAAAAAACAGGATATTACGTCTGACTAAAACATGTTTTTACTACTTAATTTCTGAAGAACACGAACAATGGGATATTAAGTCTGACTAAAACTCTTATTACTACTTATATTTGAAAAAAAATAAGTGTGACGACAGCTTTTTTTACTACTTATTTTAGAATAATACGAAAAATAAGATATTATTAAGTTGACTGAAAATTTTTTTTACTACTTCATTAAAAAAATTGGAGATTATGTCTGATTAAAAATCATTTTTACCAAAAAAAAAAAATTAATTCGTTTAATGATAATGAAAGTTCCTAGTATCAAGGAGAAAATGTAAAAAATTTTGGTTGCATTAGAGTTTCTTGTTGTACTAAAATGTAAAATGTTACTTTTAAATAAAAATTAGTTTCGTTTTAAATTGATTTTTATAAAACTTAAAAGGTTAAATTACAAGAAGTATACTGTTTGATGAACATTTTCGTTTGTTACTACTTAACTTAAAGAAATAGGAAATTATGTCTGACTAAAACTTGTTTTTACTACTTAATTTAAAAAAATACGACATTAAATCTGACTAAAACTTGTCGTTACTACTTAATTTAGAAAAACAGGAAATTACGTCTGACTAAAGATGGTTTTTACTACTTAATTTAGAAAAAAAGGATATTACGTTGGACTAAAACTTGTTATTACTACTTAATTTAGATAAATACGAAATTACGTCCGACAAAAGATTGTTTTTACTACTTAATTTATGAAAATAGGGAATTCCGTCTAATTAAAGATTGTTTTTTCTACTTAATTTAGAAAAATACGGAAAGTAAAATATTGAGTTTGACTAAAATTGGTTTTTACTACTTAATTTAGAGAAATAGAAAAATAGAAAAATGAGTCTGACAAAAAGTTGTTTTTACTACATAGTTAAAAAAAATAAAATATTATGTCTGACTAAAACTTGCTTTTACCACTTAATTTAGAAAAATAGAATATTAAGTATTACTAAAACTTGCTTTTACTACTTAACTTGAAAAAATAGGACATTATATCTGACTAAAACATGTTTATACTACTTAATTTATAAAAATAGGAAATTACGTCCGACTAAAGATTCTTTTTACTACTCAATTTAGGAAAATAGGAAAAATAAGGTATTAAGTTTGACTATAACTTATTTTTACCACTTCATTTACGAAAATTGGATAGTATGTCTGACTAAAACTTGTATTTACTACTTAATTTAGAAAAATACGAAAAGTAGGATATTAAGTCTGCCTAAAATATTTTTGCTACTGATTTATAAAAAGTACCATAAATTTGTTAATGTGTCTGACTAAAACATGTTTTTACTACTTAATTTCTGAAGAACACGAAAAATAGGATATTAAGTCTGACTAAAACTTGTTTTACTACTTATATTCGAAAAATAAGAAAAATACAGTATTAAGTGTGACTAAAACTTGTTTTTACTACTTATTTTTGAAAAATAGAGATATGACTACGTCTGACGAAAGCTTGTTTTTACTTCTTAATTTTGAAAAATACGAAAAATAGGAAATTAAATCTGTCTAAATCTTGTTTCTGCTAGTAATTTATAAAAAATTTATAAAAATTATCATTAATTATTATAATTAATGAAGAAAAATATTTTTCGTATTCAGTGTTCGACCATAAAATTTTCACTCATTTAATAGAAGACAGATTAGGTAG